AAAAATGAATGAAGGTCTTGCGGAGTTGGAACGACATGAGGGTGAGTAATTAATGACAGAATTTTCATTTTTGGATGAACTATCACTTTAAAATTGAAAAAAAAAAAACCCACCCATGTACTGTACAGTGTAAAGAGCTTTGTTGATAACGGGAGTTTGCACTGAGCTGCAAAACACAGTTGTGTGAAACTGTCTAAACCTGCAATCAGTAACAGCTTCAGTGATTATAAGGTGTTCAGTGGCAGACTCCAGTATTGTCATGTTACTCACTTTGTGTAATTTAGTCTAGAACCTAATAGCAGCTGTGTTTTTTATGCTGCTAAGAGAGCCAATATAAACTCAACCACTCAGGCACTAAACCGTAAGTTCATGAATACACACACACTAACTAGACTGAAGGGCAAATGAGATCGGAATAACGTATGCTATAAAATGAGTGAGATGGGAAAAATGACAGGACTGCTAGGTGTGTGCATTTTATGTTTTCTGCACACGTTGCACTGACGAGAAAGGCCAGACTCAGAGTCTCGGAGTAAGTGTGATGGCGTTTACGACAACAGGGCCGCAATAACAAAACACTGCAAGGAAAACGGCACACTTATGCAATTACATGTGGCAGGTAGCAGTTAGCCGTCTGATTGGCTGCCTGATCAAAAACACTGACTATTGCAGAAAGAGGAGCTTCCCTGCTTCAAGTAAAAAAGTCTGTACTTCTTTGGCTCCGGTCTATCCCGTGCTAATTTTAATGATAACACCGATTAGCACGCGCTGGGGAGCTGCAGGGCAAGAGTGGCTGCTCTGAGGCTCGGCATCTGTGGACAAGAGAGAGCAATCACACTGGTTGACTGGACAGGATGCAGTATTAGCTGAAGAGACACTTGAGGCCTCCTGAAAGAGCCACGTTTATACACACTCAGACCAGCTGGGAGGCTGCCAGAGCCTGCTCAACACACATAAACTAACTCACTTATTTACACGCTCTCCACCTCATGTATCTCTCTCTTTTTCTGTCTGAATCAGCACACACTCCTCCACCTGTGGCTCAGCCACTCATCCTGGAGCACAAGCGGAAAGACGGAGAGAGAGAAAGAGAAAGAGATAGAGAGAAAGATTGGTCTGAAACTATAAGAGCCTGCATACTCTGGCGTGAAGGAGTCAGTCCTTGTAGGAGGACACTGCTGGTGTTTGATTGATGATGAAAGGATGAGAAAAGAGCGATAGAGAGAGTGGCCACAAATAGGGGAGGAAGTACCCACATGACACTTTAGAAATGAGGCTGGGAAATATAGCTTAAAAAAACCCTCAATATCTTAATATATTTTCAGTTTTTTTGACAATAACCAAAGTCTTGAAATGCAAATTGTGATTTTTCATTTCCCATTATTTGCCATTGTCCAAAACTGATTCAAAATGTACAGAAACTTACAAATACGCAAGATTTTCAACTAAAAAGAAGAAAAATGGCAAATAATAATGTTTTAAAATACAGCAACAAAGTTTGGGATTGGGGTTAGATTTGGGATAAGATTTTTTTTTTTTTTGCAGTTTTGAAAAGTATTTCATAATTACCAAAATCATTTTATAATCACCGTTTTTTATCAATCAATCAATTAATAAATTAAATAAAAACTACTAAAACAAACAGTAAAAACAGTAATGTTGTGAACTATTATTGCAATTAGGCCTGTCGCAATAATCAATATATTGACTTATCGTGCAATATATGTACATGACCTCAATAATTTTTGGTGACGCAATATATCGCCCATTATACTTACTCAAAAATTAATGTCACCATGTTTTGTACATTCCACTTGTGCTTGTGTCTTTTGCAGCTTCTCGTACATAATGTGGTGTAGTCATGAGGTGCTAGTTCAAATTTAAAAAATGCTTCTACAAAAAAAGTTTCATCTGCAGATATGGTCTTGTTTAGGGATCTGTGTCTTTGTGCATACGGACATCTGACTGCTGAGTAGTGATTGTGTTTTTCAGCAATAGTGTGCACCATTCATTTACTGAGAAAAGAAGGTCAGCGAAAAATCTGTAGATGGAAAAATCTCCATACAAGTTCTTTGTGCATTTTTCTTTTTTTCTACTTGTTACTTTGCACTTTTTTGTTAGAAAATGTTTATTTACTATTTATTCAGGTTTTTTAAGGTATCTAATATTTTGATACTTAATTTCCATGATCTAAATATTCTTAAAAATTAAAAGTTTGTTGTCATTTGGAAGTGTGTAGGCTGTTATGCTGTTACATTATGATTATATATAAAGTGGCATAAAATGGTCTTTAAAATGCCAATAATATCGCTTATCGCAATTATTTCTGGGGCAATATATCGCATGACAAAATGTTGTTATCGTGACAGGCCTAATTGCAATTAAAAAAAAATGTTTTCTATTTGAATATATTTTAAAATGTAATGTATTCCTGTGATAGAGCTGAATTTTCAGTATCATTACTCCAGTCTGCAGTCTTCAGAAATCATTGTTATGCTGAACAACATTATTATTATTAGTAGTAGTAGTATTAATCTTGCTATATTGTTATTAAATTAAACAGTTGTGCTGCCTAATTATTTAGTTTTTTATTATTATGTTTAACAGGATTTTTTTAGGTCTATAATTGGCCTCGTAGTAATGCTGAAATAATTGGGTTGGTATGGCCTTTCCTAACACTGATGTGTAATCTGCTATTGGAGAAAAAACAAACAAACAAACAAATGATCTGACAGACAGCAAGAAAGCCGGAATGAGTAATATGCACATAAACAAGAACTCATCTCTGCAAAAGTTATGATTTCCACTCTAGAACGAACCAGATTTTTTTATTAAAACTTTAAAGCTAAGTTTACAATTAAAGAGAGGGATCTCAAACAAAGCAAAATAAAGAAATACAATGCAAACTTTTGATGCACTGGGTAGCTGAATTAATCCAAGCAGAGAAGAAACCTTCAGTTCAGACAGACTCATGCTCAGAGATGAATAACATTACAATGGAAAGACTGTTCAATAGAGAGAATAAGACAAAAATAAAGGATATAATCAGAGAGGCAAGTGACTTAAGCAGAGGGCTGAAACTCTGTCTCGGACTTGAAATCATCCAAATGTATAAATAAGTCAGACACTGACTGCCTGGACAGTGTGTAGTGCCCCCTGTTGAGCAAAGACAGCAGTGACGTGTCAGTAAACCCTTATAGAAGAGTTGAAACAGAAGCACTTTGGTTCTGAATGACTGTGTCATGAGACATCTAATGAAATCTAAATTAACCTAAAAAGGTTTATTAGAGACCTGCTCTAGAGACTTAAACACTGAGATTTGTTTTAAATTAAAGTGAAGGACAGCAGTCCTTCAAGAGAGTTAAACAAGCAAAAAAGAGAGAAACTGAATGAAACAAAACCAAGGAGAATCACATGAGCTTCAGTAGCCGTCCTTTAAAAAACCTTGACTTATTCAACTCTACTGAGGATTATGCTTTTAAACATACAAAAAATCAGTTATCTCCCACCATCACACAAACATGTAAAATGCAACTCCTAATATTCATACTCCAGTTCTTAGCTTACCCTCAAAGCACTTTCACAGGACTCACGTCAACATCCCTAAACGGACTGAATTCTATGGAGCAAAGCGTCAATCTACAGCACTCAAGTGCTGTTTAAAGTTAAAACAATTCCAACTTTGACCTACTGACCTTTCGAGGCACAGGCCTTACTTACTGATCGTGAGATTTGCTGGTTTCATGTTGGGGGTATTATTGACATTTTAAAGCCAACAGTCAATATATATTGGCTGATCTTAGATGTCAATCTGTTAGTGTCACTTTAAAATGTTCACATCTTAACATTTTAATCGTAAAAGTCTCCAGAATAGTGGGAATTACTTGTACTTTTTTATAAAAAACAAAACCTAAAATAAAAAATTATATAATATATATATATATAGGAAAGGAGGAATCAAATTTTTATTTTGAGTGTTGTTGCAATAGTTTTAACACCTACAATTGCTCCTAAAACCAAGAGTGTGCTCTTTTTCTGTCACTGTCCATAAAACATTACACACAATTGTTTGCTCTCTCTGAAATGCGATAACTGGCATGGATTTCATGCTATATCTGAATATAGGCCTATATGAAGTTATTTTTCATGAATTTGATAAATAATAAAATATATAAAAAATGTCTCAATGTAGATTTTGGCTAGCTTAATAGGTACGTTTACCCTATATAATATAATATATACCCCTCTCCCTTGCACTGTACTTCATGCCCCACTCTTAATTACCACCACACACTATAACCCAACACTACATTCACTACTGACTTCTCATCAAGCCACACTCCATATTATCATTTGTGTGTATTAAGTGCACGAAGAGCACACTGCAGGCTGCTCTTCTGCTGTATTGACTCAGCATGAGACCTTCATACGGAAAAAAAAAACTCATCCCAGTGAACACTGGGAGCCCGCTTTGTGCGTGCACATCCTCACACACATTCCTTGAACAGCAGGAGGCAAGTTCGAGTGGCAACATATATTATACAAACTCATTTCATGTGTGTGTCTCATGAGTGCATAGAACCTGTTTGTAATCCAATCACATCTCTAATATCATCATGCATTGCGTCGTATCATTATGATGTTGATGCACGCTCAGATAGCTGTGTATAAAAGTCTGTGTAAACATTATAGGAAGTGTGCAGATACAGATCAGCCTGATTCAGAACTGAGAATCACTACAAAGCAACATGCTCAAAATCATCAAAGTCACAGCATTGAATTTTTATTGCGTGTGTGTGGTTGTGGTATTATATCAGCGATGGGCTGTTCACATGGTAACAGATTGACAACAGGACACACTTGTGTCTCTCTTCTGTTGGTTTAAAACGAGCTCCTAGGAACGTGTGCAGGGGCTTGTTTTATCCATCTTCAAAGGCGATTTTTCTAAAGCTCACTCTCGTGAAAACTTTCAGTGAGTGCATGGCTGATAAACATCTCACCTGTGTTGACCTCCAGCAGTCTCTTCTTCTTCATCTGCCGCTCCTGCTTCTCTCGTTCCGCCTTCTCTTTGGCTATCCTCGCTTTCCTCTGCTTCTCCTCCGCCTCTCTTCTCCTTGCATTCTCCTTCACTGCTTGCTAGAGAGAGAAAAGACAGAGATAGAGCAGATGTTTGAGGAAACAACTCTGAAGCAAAGAGATGTTCAGTGTTCGGTGGTAACACTTCAGTGCTTTAAGTTCTTTAGTGTTGTGTTACACATTTAAATATTTAAATGTTTATATTTAACAACCTGACAGAAGCCTGACTTCAAAAATGGAAAAAGTAAAAAAAAAAGTGAATAAAAACTTGTATATAAATTACAAGTGAACATACACTACCGTACTTGCTATACTATACATACTTTTATTTGGCACAGATTCATTAAATTGATCAAAATCGACACTAAAGACATGTATAATGTTACACAATATTTCTATTTCAAATAAATGCTGTTCTTTAGAACTTTCTATTCATCCAAAAAAAATAAATAAAATACAGAAATAATGCATCACAGTTTTCACGGAAAAATATTAAGTTGCAAAACTGTTTTCAACATTGATTATAATAAGAAATTTTTCTTGAGCACCAAATCAGCATATCAGAATGATTTCTGAAGTATCATGTGACACTGGAGTCTGGAGTAATGACTGCGGAAAATTCAGCTTTTGCATCACCAATCATCAATTAAAAAAAAAAAGAAAAACATAACGACTCTGAACTTTTTAAAAGCAGCATATAGTGCAGATTATTAAATCTTGTCTGAAAAAAATTTATATATGTAAACTATGCTGACAAAATATGTATTAGTAAATTTATATATATATATATATTTTTTTTTTACAATTGCTGGCATCTTATATTCCTGTTACTGCTTTTATTTGTTTGTTTGTATTGATGCTTTGGCAATATTGTGCAAGTCATACCAACAGACTCTGAAAATTGAATTAGAGAGTTAAGTGAAACAAGTCTTTTCAAAATGTAAAACTGTTGAGAAAAAGCATTTTTAATATTTCTGAATTTTAGCTCAGGAGTCAGCTGTAGCTGACCTACAAGACATTCTGGTGATGTGAATAAAACTGAGTGGCACCAAACTAAAGCCTCAGCAAACAGTCTATAAATACACATTTTAATGATTTTGAGAACCAAGTTGAATCTCTACAAATGTCCATTTGCGAAACTATTCAACCCCAAAGGTCAGTATTTGGCGGAGCATCCTTTATAACCTCCAATAAATGCTTCTGGCAAGTGTTCAGAGGACCCAGACACCTCTCTATTGGACTCTTAGCCCACTGCTCATGTGAAAAGCTTCCAGCTCACTGACATTTTGTGCTTTCTGTGTTGCCACCGCTTGTTTCAAATCCCATCAAAGATTTTCAATGGGATTTAAATCCGGAGGCTGAGATGGCCACTCAAGGACATTCCAGGACCCATCCCTGAACCAAGCGCTGGTAGACTTGGATGCATGCTACGGATCATTGTCTTGCTGGAAAGTCCAATGATAACCAAGCTTCAATTTACACACCGAAGGCATCACACTCTTCGCCAAAATGGCTTGATATTTCAAAGAGTCCATGGTGCCAGTCACATGGACAAGACTGCCATTTCCTGCAGCAACAAAACACCTGACTGACCCATCCCAAATGACTTGACGATTAAGCTACATGTAGCTGAAATACTGAAGTTATAAACAGGAAATGTGTCATTCAGTTGTCATTTTAACAAATACCCCACCTTTCATGAGATATTTTTTATTTATTTGTTACTCTATTGAAATAAAGTGTCATTATACAGCTCCTGAAGGCTTACTTGTGCTTTAAAACTATTTTGTAATCTTACATATTAGCAAGTGAACAAAAAAAATAAAATTTATCTATAAAATATTTTGAAAAACTGCGTCTATATTAAACTAATGCACAGTCAATATGAATGCAACAGCTAATACATTAACATTTGTAAACACTTATAATCTAATGAATAACTTTGATCGCATTCAAAATTATAATTAGTTACATATATTTGATTGCACAACAGTGCATAAAATGTAATGTTGCATATTCAATAACATCATAAAAGTTTCCAAAAGTAGGAACATTATGAAAGCAAAGCAAGCTCTACAAGCAGGCGACTTACACAACCCAGCAAAATTTTAGTCATTGACAGTTGCAATATCAATTATTTACTCTCTTGGGTTCAAAATGTTCACAGAAATTTGCTGTATATAAATAAGTTTAATTAATGAAATAGTGGCACCATATAGTACCTAATCAATTAACAAATCAACATTACCTTGGAGTAAATGTGTTGAAAAGAGAATATTTTGATTTTAAAAATACCAAGCAATAGTGAAAATACAGACAGACAGGAAGGAACGAAGGAGGACAAGCTGGAAGAAATAGTGTTAAGTGGAGTAAATTGTTGCAGAAAGAGACCTCAGAATTAACCAAGGCATTTTATTCCCAGGTTTTGACAATGTTCTGAACACTTCAGACATCTCTGAGAAAATCTGGGGGCAAGAACAGATCAAAATTACCCCTCTTTGCTTGCTTTCCTTTCTTTTTCGGACCATTAGTGGCTGAAGAGGGTTGTTAGAAATCTATAACTCCTCTTTTGGTTTGATGAGGGCTACTTTTCTAGGTGTAAGAACACTCGGGCAATCAGAGCAAGCTATCAGAAAGAAACATCATTAGAGCAGTCACCTTGTCCTAACACTTCATATACCTCTTTCTTCGGCTCTCTTTCTCTCTGCAGCCTTAAAAGCCTTTTCCAGATAATGGATGTATTTCTAAGTGCGGAAAAGAGCCAGTGGCACACCTTACACAAAGGTAAGGTGTAAGAAGCAAAAGACGAAAAGGTTTAATGAGAAAAGGCAGGAAGAAAAAGTGGGAGAGGAAGAGGGTGGAGAGTGAGTTCAACGCAAATGGAGATATAAAGAAGGCTGAGGAATAACCTAAATTCATAATTCAATAATTTGAATAAGGGTATGAGTACTCCAATCTGGATTCTAAAGAAGTTAAATGTATTTACAGAAGTAATGCACATATCCTGGGCTTAAAATGTGGTTTTATCACACACATTCAAATAGATAAATACTAAGCAGCATTTTGCTTATAGAGAGAGAGAGAGAGAGAGAGAGA